CTTGCTTTTCGTGTCAATTTCCATCACTAAATTTTCATTAAAGCATGATGATAAGCATACAATTTTATTAAATTTAAATATTTCTTACTACAAATATTCTTTTTATTTTCTTACAGAAATTATTCATCCATAATATATAAGAAAATCATTCATAGTATTCTACTTTGTGGTCCATTTCAAAATTGAATTAATTTAATAATGTTTCCTTTATTATGCATAATAAGTATCCCTTAAATGTTATTATTCATTTCTTCGCATTTTATCTTTGAATTTTACCTAAATCACTTGAACATCTGTCCCGACTACTTTAAGGGATTACTGATTTTGGGAATTGCCCTAAGAAGTTCTATGTCATAATAAGTTATTTTTACTTTACTAAATTGAAATTATATTTAATTTATTATGCAAATGAAAGGCCGTTGTATTTCTTGTGACTTTCGAATATATTTTATGTTGGTGCTGTTGATGTAGAAATACCGCTATTTAGTTATTGTTAGACATGTTGATATACGTGCAGTGCAGCACTAAAATGTTAAAGAGCCAAAATCTGAAAGATAATAATGGTAGAAGAAAAATCCTGGTTTTAAGCTGTTCGACTTGTGGTTGTTTTTCGAAATTTTGATACATGAATACCTGGGACAATATCCCAAGCAAAAAACTAGTAAGGAAGGTAGTAAATTCGGACTGGGCCGACTATATGATACCCTTCTACATATGTATCCTAACAGACGACGCGTTTTTTTATAAATCTATATCTGAGCCGATTTCATAGAAAGTTGACAGAGAATAGTTTATATAACATCAGTACGATGTGTCAATCGGCTAGTTATGGATCTTTTCACAAATTTTAGCAACATCATTCTAAACTTAATTCAGTACCAAAGTCGTGCAAATCGAAAGATATATAGGGTCTTTGGTGCACCAATTACCATAAATCGGGTGAAAATATATATGGGAGCTATATCTAAATCTGAACCGATTTTCACGAAACTTGGCCGACATCATTCTCGATCTTATTCTTAACTCTGTGCCAAATCTCGTGCACATCAAAATATTTCCAGGGACTTTAGTGGTCTATTTACCTAAAATCGGGCGAAGCTATATATGGGAGCTATATGTAAATCTGAACCGATTTTCAGGAAACTTTGCACACATCTTTCTATGCTTAATTTAGTACGATGTGCCAAATATCGTGCAAATCGAAAGATATATAGGGACTTTGGTACACAATTAACCTTAAATCGGACGAAGATATATATGGGAGCTATATCTTAATCTGAACCGATTTTCACGAAACTTGGCGAACATCATTCAAGATCTTATTCATTACGTTGTGCCAAATTTCGTGAAAGTCAAAAGATTTCCAAGGACTTTAGTGCACCATTTACCTTAAATCGGACGAAGATATATATGGGAGCCAGGGACGTAAGCAGGGGGGGCGGACCGGGAGGCCCGGGCCCCCCTAAATGAATTTTTTTCACAGTAAATTTATGTTTGTAACAGCGATTTTTTTCGGCCGGGCCGAACTTTGGATACCCTCCACCATAGATATACTGACAGGTACAAGAAATGAAAATATAGGGAGCATACCATAAAGTGGACCTATACCGACATTTCTAAAAAGGGATTATGTAAACCATAACAAAAAATTCATTAATTTTTAATGGATAATTATATACTATGGCTAATCGAAATATTGGTTCTACACCCCATGTTTCTTTGGACTAAATCCGTTACAAAAAATGTAGTTTTCATCCAAACTTTGTCTATCTTATTATTTCTTCCAATCTTAGTTCAAATTTTTTATCTCGATATCCTCCGCAGGTGAAATGATTGCATCAGAGTCTTAGAACCAAACTCAAAACGCGGAACAAATCAGATAACCATTTGAATATAAACAAGTGGAAAAGAGTTAAGTTCGGCCGGGCCGAACTTTGGATACCCTCCACCATAGATATACTAACAGTACTTGAAATATAGAGAACATACTAAAAAGTGGACCTATACCGACATTTCTATAAACGGATTATATAAACCATAAAGTAAACCATAATACAAAGTTCAGAAATGTTTAATGGATAATTATACACTCAGCCTTATGGCTAATGAGGGTGTGTACAATTTAACACTGTGAAAATGAGCCTCATCGAAATATTGGTTCTAGACCCCATGTTTCTTTGGACCAAATCCTTTTCAGAAAATTTCTTCTGAACTTAAGTCAAATTCAAAGATGGGGAATATCGGTCCACTCCTTCTGGATCCTCCACACAGGGGCTAGGTCTAAATGCGGCTATAGTTCATTATCGAACCTTACGTTATAATTTTTTCTCGTCCGCAGGAGAAATGATTACAACAGAGTCTTAGAACAAAACTCAAAACGCGGAATAAATCAGATATCTAATTTAACATAAACAAGTGAAATGAAATAACATACATTAACTACAATTCTACCAATCGATTGTTGTAAACCAAACATGTTTCATCTACCGCATGGTAAGATGAAACATGTGTATAAAATCATGAAAGTAGTCCAATTTTGAGGGCAAATTTTTTATGATGCGTACTACAGCGGGGCCAATATTGAAAACATTGTATAGGAATTAGCGAATACTTGGTGTTTTTATTATATAAGAGGTTATGCCTTCTTTTGGGCCGATATAGCTCAAGTTCCAAGCTAATAATTTAATTTTGAATCCCAATACCGTGCATCACGATAAATATTAAATATGTAGGATTTTTATATAGAACCTGGGCCTAAATGCGGGTCGATATAGTTCATTCTCAAACCTCACGTTCTAGTTTTTATGTCGATATCCTCCAATAGAATAATGATTACAACATATGGCTAAATCGACTAAATCGTTTTAGAATTTCATAGCATGCAGTGTATGAATTGAAAATTTCGTCTACAGAATATCCCCCATTCTATGGTGGAATACAGCACCTCCAGACTTACAGCTAATGACGGTGTTTTATATGCCTTTATATGTTGGGAAATGCATCCTTTGAACGCTCGTGTTCATTGTGTTTGTTTGCATACTCATTAGAAAACTGCATACTCCTTATTGTTACAACATTGAACTGTCAGTTTTCTAATGAGTATTGTTTTGCGCCAATGTCTCTTTGCAGCATTATTGTTATTATTGTTCTTCCTTCTCGTCTCGATCGCTACTTCGTAACACAGGTAATCTGTTCTTTCTCCTCTTTCTTCCCCTATTATTATTTATATTTAATATTTCAATAAAATTCTAAATCAGAAAACTAAAACGTTCGTGTTTTATTTTCTATATTTTTCGAAACGCAATTTCGGCGCCTTAACATTTTGGTCCATTCGAACCGGACGAGAACATTTGGAATCAGTTGCTAATAAATTTGTTGTGTTCACAGATTACCAGCAGCAACAACATCATAATCTCCCTCATCAACTGCATCATCACCATCATCTTCAAACAGCATCAACAACAAATCAGGTAGGTGAGTGCAGTAATTTTTATTTTTATGAGCTCGCGAAAAAAAAAATAATAACAAACATAAAACTAAAACAAACAAAAAATCATAAAGTTCGCCGACCTATTATTTTTTGCAAACAAATTCACAGGCCGCTTTACAACGTTTGTCGTTCCGTGTGTCTCTCCGTCTGTCGTATATTAGTCGCGGACAGACAAAAAGTGATCAGTGAAAAAAAAAGTGTTAAAATTTCTCCAATTAAATTTGTAATTTTGTTCTAAAAAGTGAGTGGTTATTTTTTAATAAATTTTCCAAAAAAAACCAATTTGATTTAATGAGTGAAATTATTAAATTATTTCAAAAATAAATAATAATAATTTGTAACTCCCCCACTCACTCTAATATTCGTTTGCATTCTATTAGAATAGCAAGGAAAAACAAATAACCAAACAAAAAAAAAAAATATTCGCGTTAATTTATTTTACATTCGCTGGTTAATCAACCATACACAATTATATTTACATAGTTACGTTGGTTGACATACGCACGCTGACGGTCAACCACTAGCCTGTTGTTTGACCATACACACACGCTATACACATACATACCATTGGTTAGGCAGCCGTCGCTTGCCTTGTTGAGTTATTTTTCTTTCGTTTCTTCTTTGTTGCGTGTACGCTACACACATCGGGTCGGTCGAGTGTGGTTAGTTAACACGTTTGTTACAAGGTTGAAAATTTTTGATTATTGAATTAGTAGTGTGTGTATGATTAGTTGAAATATAATTGTGTAATATAATCACGCCTTACACCCTACAGTCCGCATTGATCGAAATTCATATAAATAATAATTTTTGGTATTATTTATATTGAATTTAATAAAAATAATATAAATTTGATATATTTATATATATTTATATTTGTAAATCATTTATTTTGATTTAAATTCTCAAATTCAGTGGAAATTTTGTAAATATTTTTAAACTTTTTCGCAATTTTGTGTATTTTTCGTTATTTTTTCTGGAAAATTAAGCTTTTTCGTATAGTTTATTGGCTATAATTTTGAAAATTTGATCGATTTGTTGCATAATAATTCGTTCCTTTTTGGTTTTTATTCAACCGTTTGTGGTTATTTGATATATTCTTTGGGAATATTTTGGAAATTTTTAGCATTTTTTGGAATTTAGTTGTCATTTGAACAATTTTGGATTGTTTTTCGAACAATTTTCATCCGTTTTCAAATATCATTTCGTATATTTGGATTCTAGCTAATTCGAACTAATTTTTTAGAAATCGTGGTAAATTTTCGAATTATTTTCGATTTTCTAACGAAATCTTGGAAATTTTTGCTGTTTTTTGGGGAAGAAATTTATTTTGTCGTAGCGATTTCAATTTGTTGTCAGCTTTTTATTGGAAAAGCTTTGGTTTCAATTCTAACTAAATAGTTTTTTTCTTTTTGATAATTTCTCGTGTTCGTGCGATTAAAAATAAATTGTAATCATGCCTTCTACTCCTCTAAATACCTACATCAGAGTTTCTGACGCTCTAGTCAAAATGTGTGATAAACTTCGGGCTTTGAAGGAAGAAGATGTAGATATCTTTATTTTAGAAATTAGAAGTACGGAATTGAGTAAAAAATGGGCAAACGTGGAAAATTCTTTTGAAAAATGTATTTTCTTTTTGGAATCGTCTGAGGATTCGTGTCAAGAAGATATTGAGTCTGTAGAATCAAAGCAGGAGGTCGTTTATGACATGTATATGGATTGTCTGGCAATGATAAACCGTGCCTTGCACAAACTTCGGCAAGGAAACGTTGAATTAAATCGGGATCCGTCTGATATTCCTCAAGAAGTCCAGACACAGTCTGCACCTCCTAAGGAAGTCCAGGCTAGCGATACTGATTTAAATAAAACGAACTCGTCCACCCACACTTGTCGAAATGTGGGTAATCAGGCCGCTAGCTCCCCAATAGCAGGTATTGGGAATCCTAGAGGTAATTCGAGTTTTAATGTCGATCCTCCGAATTCAGATATGGTTCATAATCTGGTGTTGCCTCCTTGTGATACGGATGTCTTCGAGGGCGATTTTCTTTCGTGGCCAACCTTTAGAGATCTTTTTAGCGCGGTCTATATAAACAATGCTCGATTGAGTGATATCGAGCGTCTTTGTCATTTGACACGAAATACTAGAGGGGAAGCTCGCGAGATTGTTTCTAAATTCCCCTTAACGAACCGTAGTTTTGCTCTGGCGTGGAACGCGTTGAAAGCCACATATGATAATCCTCGGTTGTTAATTCATAATCAGTTTAAAATATTATTCGCTCTTCCGGTACTTGAAGTTGAAACAAGTTCGGGTCTTAAACAAATCCAGCGTGGTATCAATGGTTGCTTGTCCGCAATGTCCATTTACGACGTTCGTACGGATAATTGGGATCCGTTCTTAGTTTTTATTTGTCTTCAAAGGCTTCCGAAAATTACACAGACATTGTGGGAGCAAAGTGTTAAAGACAAATCATCTGTTTCGCTTTGGGAAGACCTCGATAGGTTTTTAACGGAACGGATTCAAACACTCATGTGTCTCCATGGTATGCGAGGGAATGATTCGGTCAAAAAATCTAACGTTAACAAATTCCAAACCCACGTCTCGCAAACTCGTCCTTATCGTAATTCCCCACCATCTCCTAAGAATGAATGTATTCTTTGCCCTCAACAGTCCCATCAGCTTTTTGAATGTCCTCGATTCAAAAGTATGTCGCTATCGGCTAGATTTTCTACAGTGAAACGTCGTAGATTATGTGTGAATTGTTTGCGTAGGGGGCACGAGGTGAAAACTTGTATTAGTCAGCATCGGTGTTCGAAATGTAGGCGTAGCCATCACACATTATTGCATCGTAGTGGCACATCACCCAATAATTCAATTTCTTCGGTTGGTTCGGTAAACCGAAACCCTACAAATTCACCAAATCCTGTCCCAATCAATCCTTCAGTCCCATCCACATCAACTAGTGCTTCTCGGCAAGTTTTCCACACGGCTCAGAATAAATCTGTTCTATTGGGGACAGCTATTGCACATGTCGTCCATTGTGGTGTTTCGTATCCCGCTAGGGCTTTAATAGATCCAGCATCAGAATCATCGTTTCTGACTCAAGGCTTGCAGAATAGGTTGAAACTCCCTGTAAGTTCAACAGATGTCACTGTTTCTGGGGTGAATTGTGCAATTTCGGCCAATTCTAGTAAAATTTGCTCGTTGCAAATTGGAAGTCGTTGCGATCCTTCAGTGGTTTTAGAAACTCGTGCAGTGGTTTTGCCGTCCATTTCGGGGAATTTGCCCTCGTTTAATGTCTCGTCGGATTTTAGAGCCCAAATGCCAAATATTCGTTTGGCAGATGATGATTTGTTTAATTCACGTCCTGTGGAACTTCTCTTGGGTGCGGACTTGTATCCAAAAATTATGTTGGAGGGTTGTCAGTCAATTCTTTCTGGGACTTTGCTGGCTCAAAATTCAATTTTCGGGTGGCTTGTAACTGGACCTATCCCATCGTCGGAGATTCGTGCCTTTGCCACTTTAGTTGCCCGCAAAAATTATAGTAGAAATTATATGGTTAGATCGAATAGATCGCGGCGATCCACTTTTGGCCGCTACTAATTGGAGTAGCGTAAAGCGGGGTACCTTGATGCGACCGATAACAATGTGTTCGTGCATCTTTTATCGAAAGTAAACTGTTTTGTTCGACGGAATCTCTTGCTGCAATGTCGTAGCTGAGTAAAATTCCTTTTAAGGCATTAACTACAACTGGTGTAGATTTCGTTGTTCCTTCCAAGGTAAATTCTTTCACAGACCCGTATTGCAAGATTAACAAAGGATACGTTGGTGTATTCCTGCGTTTCTCACCAAATTTATTCCACTCGATATTTTTGAAAAATGGTAGGACTTTTGAGGTCGTTTCCCGTGATTTACGTCGTAAGTTGGTGCATATCAATTGTGAAAATCGTGATTCCATTTCGCTGCTTTGGTACTCAGGGACTATCGTGGTATTTTATTCCAGCTGGTGCTCCACATTCGGGTGGACTCTGGGAAGCAGGAATAAAAAATTTCCCATCCTGAAACTGTCGTAATTGACTAACCTATATCGCTTGTGAATAGGTTTCGTAAAGTTCAAAGCTTGCTAATTTGTTTTGAAGTCGTTGTAATTCATAATGAAAAAACTTCCACCTACGTTTTGGAAGCTAGGCCAAATAGAAAAAGTTTACAAGGTATTGGTTGTCACGTCAGAATCGTTGACGTTCGGTCGACAACGGGCATTGTAAAGCGGCCTATTTCTAAATTATAGTCAA